GGCCCCACCTCTGGTCTCCGCGGCAGCGCCGTGCCCCCCGGCAGGGCGCCGCCTCGCCCCGCGCCAGCCGCACGCGGAACAGGAACGCCGGCGCCCAGAGCGCCAGCGCGCCCGTCACGAAGGCCACGGCCGTGAAACCCAGCGTGGACAGCACCAGCGTCCGGCTGCGGGGTCAGAGGTCAGGATTCCCGGGGAAAATTCCCAAAATCCCGAAAAAACGGCTCCGAAATAGCCCAAAATAGCCAAATTCTACCCCAAAACCGGTGAAAATCGACCCAAAAATGGCCAAAATCTACCCAAAAATGACCAATAAAAAGGGACATTGAGGTGACACCGAGCATGGACAGTACCAGCGTCCGGCTGCGGGGTCAGAGGTCAGAATTCCCGGGGAAAATTCCCAAAATCCCGAAAAAACGGCACCGAAATAATCCAAAATAGACAAATTCTACCCAAAAATGGCCAAAATCTACCCAAAAATGACCAAGAAAATGGGACACTGAGGTGACACCGAGCTTGGACAGCACCAGGGTCTGGCTGCGGGGTCAGAGGTCAGAATTCCCGGAGAAAATTCCCAAAATCCCGAAAAAACGGCACCGAAATAACCCAAAATAGCGAAATTCTACCCCAAAAACGGTGAAAATCGACCCAAAAATGGCCAAAATCGACCCAAAAATGACCAATAAAAAGGGACACTGAGGTGACACTGAGCGTGGACAGTACCAGGGTCCAGCTGCGGGGTCAAAGGTCAGAATTCCCGGAGAAAATTCCCGGAATCCCGAAAAAACGGCACTGAAATAGCCCAAAATAGCCAAATTCTACCCCAAAAACGGTGAAAATCGACCCAAAAATGACCAAAAAAAGGGACACTGAGGATGAAAGACACCAGGGTCTGGATGCGGGGTCAAAGGTCAGAATTCCCGGAGAAAATTCCCGGAATCCCGAAAAAACGGCACCGAAATAGCCCAAAATAGCCAAATTCTACCCCAAAAACGGTGAAAATCGACCCAAAAATGGCCAAAATCCACCCAAAAATGACCAAGAAAATGGGACACTGAGGTGACACTGAGCGTGGACAGCACCAGGGTCCAGCTGCGGGGTCAGAGGTCAGAATTCCCGGGGAAAATTCCCAAAATCCCGAAAAAACCCCATCGGAATTGGTGAAAATGGGCAAAAATGGCCCCAAAATGGTCCCGGATGGGGCAGGGGTCACTCAGGGTCACTCAGGGGTCACTCAGGGGTCAGTGGTCAGTGGTCACTCAGGGGTCAGTTACATGTCAGGGGTCACTCAGGGTCACTCATGGTCACTCAGGGTCACTCAGGGTCACTCAGGGTCACTCATGGTCACTCAGGGTCACTCAGGGTCACTCAGTGGTCACTCATGGTCACTCAGTGGTCACTCAGGGTCACTCAGGGTCACTCAGGGTCACTCAGTGGTCACTCAGTGGTCACTCTGGTCNGTCACTCAGTGGTCACTCAGTGGTCACTCTGGTCACTCATTGGTCACTCAGGGTCACTCAGGGTCACTCAGGGTCACTCAGGGTCACTCAGGGTCACTCAGTGGTCACTCATGGTCACTCAGTGGTCACTCTGGTCACTCAGGGTCACTCAGGGTCACTCAGTGGTCACTCAGTGGTCACTCTGGTCACTCATTGGTCACTCTGGTCACTCACTGGTCACTCACTTGTGTCCCAGCTCCCTGATCTCCCGGGCCCAGCTGCGGTCAGCGGTCAGTGGTCACTCAGTGGTCACTCACAGGTCAGTGGTCACTCTGGTCACTCAGTGGTCACTCATTGGTCACTCAGTGGTCACTCTGGTCACTCATTGGTCACTCACTTGTGTCCCAGCTCCCTGATCTCTCTGGCCCAGCTGCGGTCAGTGGTCAGTGGTCACTCAGTGGTCACTCTGGTCACTCTGGTCACTCATTGGTCACTCTCACTGGTCACTCTCAGTGGTCAGTGGTCACTCAGTGGTCACTCTCACAGGTCAGTGGTCACTCTCAGTGGTCAGTGGTCACTCATTGGTCACTCTGGTCACTCTGGTCACTCATTGGTCACTCTCACTGGTCACTCTCAGTGGTCAGTGGTCACTCATTGGTCACTCACTTCATTCCCAGCTCCCTGATCTCTCTGCCCCAGCTGCGGTCAGTGGTCAGTGGTCACTCAGTGGTCACTCACAGGTCAGTGGTCACTCTGGTCACTCAGTGGTCACTCACTGGTCACTCAGGGTCACTCAGTGGTCACTCAGTGGTCACTCTCACAGGTCAGTGGTCACTCAGGGTCACTCAGTGGTCACTCACTTCATTCCCAGCTCCCTGATCTCTCTGCCCCAGCTGCGGTCAGCGGTCAGTGGTCACTCATTGGTCACTCTCACTGGTCACTCTGGTCACTCTGGTCACTCATTGGTCACTCTCAGTGGTCAGTGGTCACTCTCACAGGTCAGTGGTCACTCTGGTCACTCATTGGTCACTCACTTCATTCCCAGCTCCCTGATCTCTCGGGCCCAGCTGCGGTCAGTGGTCAGTGGTCACTCTCAGTGGTCAGTGGTCACTCAGTGGTCACTCTCACAGGTCAGTGGTCACTCACAGGTCAGTGGTCACTCATTGGTCACTCAGTGGTCACTCTGGTCACTCAGTGGTCACTCACTTGTGTCCCAGCTCCCTGATCTCTCTGCCCCAGCTGCGGTCAGTGGTCAGTGGTCACTCATTGGTCACTCTCACAGGTCGCTGGTCACTCTCAGTGGTCAGTGGTCACTCAGTGGTCACTCTCACAGGTCAGTGGTCACTCTCAGTGGTCAGTGGTCACTCACTTGTGTCCCAGCTCCCTGATCTCCCGGGCCCAGCTGCGGTCAGTGGTCAGTGGTCACTCATTGGTCACTCAGTGGTCACTCACTTGTGTCCCAGCTCCCTGATCTCCCGGGCCCAGCTGCGGTCAGCGGCCGCGGCTCCGGCCCCGTCCAGGCCGCCCCGGGGCGGGTCCCTGACCACGGCCAGGAGCAGCAGCAGCGCGGCCACGCCCAGGACAGGGGTCACCTGCGGGGCAGAGGTCACACGGGGGTCAGGGGTCACCC